CCTTACTTTTTTTCCCTTAACTTTGCATGACCAAATTCTTCCCACCTTTCAGTTTCCAACTCAAAAGCCACCTCCTGAAGGAGCTTTGATCAATCCTTTCAGTTGTACTTGAGAGGCATGAAGTGCTTGAATTTTATAGGATAGTTATCACTTTCAAATATGTGGTAATATATTTATCTATCTTTTTCCATATTAGGACTGAGTTCATTAAAAACATACTAAATCTTACTAATTTTGTTTCTTCTCGTATTTTCTTATATGAGACAGTCAGTGAACTTTTGCTGAGTCAAATAATTGCAAATTTTTCAGATAGTCTCCCTTAGTTTAATTCTGAATTACCCTACAAGAGTGAAATATTAAGGTTTTAATCTTCTGGTTGGGAAAGGTGATCTCTAAGAGTACCACTTAAAATAGAAACAGGAAATCTTTAAATGCCAAGTGTCTATAACTTGGGACAAACATACATTGTTAAAGACACTACTTTATAATATGACCAAGCATCTAATACTTTACTGAAATTCCCAAGTAGCTTTTCTGAAAACTGAAGGCACAAGTTTCAAAGAGTTTTATGTGGCCTTCTTTCATCTTTCACTAAAACCCAATGACCTACATTTACTACACTCTGCTTACAACTGTATTTCCTTCCTACATACTACTCTTATTTCTACATCAGCAAGAATTTGACATAGACTTTGTGAGTATCAATTTCATCACTATACATTGTGGCTTTTAAAAACTTTTGAGATCCTGTTTTCCCTGTGGTTCTATGATTACGACCTAGACAGATGCCATGTATGTATACTGAATGAAGTTAATCCTCTTAAATTTCTCTGTCAGTTTGTAACATATGAGTAATTTTTTTCCCATGGGCTACTTTACCTCCGCTTGGCACCTGGAAATGAAGGATTCTCAGTTTTTAAGTTGCTGCTGATAGTGCCTAGTTATTTGTGGGGGCTTCATTTACTACCATCATCTATGGTCACTCTCATTTCCAAATAAGCTTACTGTCCCTCCTCTTCTTTGGAGGGAAGCTCCATTAGTTTCCCTACTTACTACCTCCGATCATGGAATTCTTTCCTAGTAAAGCAGAATAGTTTGTTACCCTTCCATTCCGTAAGAAAATAAGAGTTCTTTAAGATTTGCTAAAACCTTAAATAATCATGGCAAACAATAACAAAAGGGAAGTAAAGGAGTTCAATTCTAGTGCTTGTATTTATCTCTTCTTTTCCATTTAGAACTAAGTGAGGGGAATAAAACTCCTCAGAGTAGACATTTTAAAAGTAATTAAATCTAAACTTTGCTCAAACTCAACATAGTTGATTAACAGACATGAAGACAACTTTATTATTTCTACTGATGGCAAGATCATTTCACAGGGGGTCCATTTACTTTCAGTAAACAAGTGCAAGTCTGCCTGTTGACATACCTGTATGTTGAGGTATAAAGAAAGTAGGTTTTCTAGTTAATTTTGTATTTAAAGTAACTATCCTATCCTGCAGAAATGAAGTAGAATAGGTCTGTCACTATCATTTCCTATTTACTTCATATCTATAAACACTGCTAAAATTACATTAGCTTTTGTGGCAACCCTGTCGCTTGCTAACCAATACTATAAAATGTAGCCAACCAACATATTATCTTTTACTAAACCTACTCAACCTAGGTTTCAATCTCCTTGAATTTAAATATAAGTTCTTTCAATTTCTCAATTTCTGTACATGCTTCAGATGGTTAAATTTACAAATGCTGTCATCCAATAACAATTATCACTTCCTTGCTTTAATGTTATCAAAACATAACCATGTCCTTAAGTTTTCATCTAAATCTGAGATGCAAGGATTAGCTTTGGAGAGAATATATACAGCTTTCATCAGATCCTCAAGGTGCCCTGATTACCTGCCCCTCCTACCCTGGTTCACCTCCACTTAAGATTAAGCTACTGATGGAAACATTTGTATACTGTAATACAAGAGTCACATGAGAATAGCAACTGTAGTTAACACTACAAGAAACAGTGAAAGTTTGGAGGCAACCTTAGTTAACTGCATCTTCACACCATTAAAGCCAGACTTGGTACCCTCTAAAATATGTTTAATAAAGAAAGAGTCCTATGTTAAAGATTAATGTGGAAGATACAATGACTAAATACAATATGGGATCTTAAAGTGAATTCTGGAACAGAGAAAAATATACTTAAAAAAGCAAAACACTCTGTAAAAGTAAAATAAGATCTGTAATTAATAGAATTGTATCAGTGTTAATTTCCTAACTTTGATAATTGTACTAAGGTTGTACAAAATACTAACATCAGGGGAAGCTAGGAGGAGGATATAGAAAAACCCTCAATATTATTTTTATAACTTTAAATCTAACATTTCAAATTAAACACTTAAAAAAAAAGAAAGGAGGAAGAGAGAGAGAAATGAAGTAAAGGCGGAAAGAAGGAAGAAAAAGTCTTAAAAGGTGATGGTTCATTAAAAAGCTATACTTTCATTTTTAGCTTCTTGGATTATCCTCTAATAGATGTCTTTAAGTGGAAAGGGTTGAAACGTAATCAGATAATAAATTATGCTAAGTACAAATAAGTAGGGAATATACTTGGGTTGGTTACAGAATGGCTCAGGTAGCTATCCTCAAGTTATGTATATATAATTATTAGGAGAGAACATTTAACCAATAACAATATCCAACCCACAAGTAACCCACTTGAGTGATTCTTTAAAATTACATAGTTCAGATCTACAACTATGCAGGACCACACAGACTATACAGATGAATTGCAAATATAATACTGGCGGAAAGAGGTTAGACACAAAATAGGTAGTGTATGATTCTACTTACGCAAAACATGAGAAGTTAGGATAAGGAGGGGAATGACTGGAAGAGGACATGAAGAGGTCATGAAAGAGGCTTCTGCAAAATACTTATTTGCCAAATTAGTAAAATAAAAATTAATCCTAAATTTATTATTTTAGTCCAAAATGTACAAGGTAATTTGGTAAGGTCCAAAACAAACAAAGTCAAAATATTTAATAGTTTTGAAGCTTAACATACACAAATCTTCCACCCAATGAATAAACGGTCCCACACTTTATTAGCTGATACACCTATTAACAAGCCTGTAGCTATTTGCCAACTGAAGCTGTAGATGTTAGAGTGAATAAAGCTAGCCATTATTGCTCCTCTCAATTTAAAATTTAATTTGCTAGTCAAAAAGTTCAAAGGAAACCACTAGTCAGTTTCTACTGGGTTGGGCTTGTTACCTTGGCACCAACAAGGCTAACTTACAGTGAAGAATGGCTCATCGAGAATATACATTCTGATTATATTCTGGCACTAACACACTATAGACAAGTATCTATTAACGTCTTTGGCTCTGGACAACATGCTCCCAGGAAAAGAGAAAATACTTTCAATGCATGAGAAACTAAAGATACAGCAACTTGTCTCATTTCTGATACCTTAAAGTTTATGATATCTAAAAAAGAGAACAGATAAGGAGCATTTAGCCATAACAGCAAATGATGTGCAGGCAACTTTTATGGTTGTTTTATAATGAAACAAAAGAAATCTTTTAATATTAGATTCAAATTATAAAAATAAAGTTCAAATCTTCCTATACTGTTTTTGATGAAAATAATATATGCCATTCATATTAATATTATAGCAGCACACAAAGCAAGCTACTTGAAATAAATTACCATACATTTGACAACTACTCTTATTACATTTCTAAATAAAGTGCCATTTTTCCTTTTTCTAAGGGAAACTAATAAATCACACCCCAAAGTATTCACATTCTTGCTGTATCTGGTATTCTATTTGGATGAATAAACCTTCATGTTTGTTTCATGCCATAATTTACATTTATGCATTAATTTATATGGCTACAGTAGAATTACTTAAAAATTTATTTTATAAACAAGGTACTACAAATTTTAAAACTTTTTGTTCTAAAAGTAACTATTTTAAGACCGATTTTTGGTTAAGTAATGAACACATCATCAAAAAGATACCTTGTTAGAAAATTTACCTAGAGTGACACACAGAAGCAAATCAAGTCTAAGAATTAAAAGGACTCAGCATTTCTAGGCAATGTAGAACATGTCTTACGTGACATGTACATGCACTTAAAAATACTCTTTTCTAATAAAAGAGATGGAGTTTGAGTTCATAAGTATTACCCAGAATTATGCCAAAAGACACAAATGCGTTGCCAGGCAGAGTTAAAAGAATCTAACAAGCTTTTATGTGAATTTTTAAAACACTGTTTGCGCTCAACTCCTATTTAATTAAACATAAAACGATGGAGGGCTAATAAATATTCAGCAAAATAATTGAACAGAGCATACACTACTTAAAAAGTGTGTTAAGCAGAAAGATAAACCAAAGTATCTTTTGCCATAAATGAACTCTAAGGCTTCATTCTATAGTTTTAAAAGTTAAAAATAAAATCTATACAGCATTTCTGTGAGAAAGCAAACTGTTTTAGGGACTCGCAGATCTAGTAAATTCTAGCAAACAAATTTGATGTTAAAGTTTCTTGCCAAAACTACTTCGGTACCTTAGTTTTGTCCCTCCTCCAATTTTTTACTTTGAAAAAATATTTTGCTTTGAGTCACAGTGGCTTTTACAGAGTAACCATATAAAATAGCATAAAATTTAAAATAACTACAGTTTATTTTATAGAATATATTTTCATATTAAATTAAGGTAGCTATTTTATATCAAAATTCAATAGAATATCTAAATCCTTCAAAATATAAATATACTCCAAATGCACAAGATGCAGTAAAAAGAAAAGCACGGTTATTCTCTATATAAAATACAGATTGTTCTTTTGGTTTATTTTGCTGCTTTGTCCCATGCTAAATACCATGTGATTTCCCCCCATAAAATAACAAATAAAGATCAGTTTTAATGACGAGAAACCAGTACAGTGCAAAGCATTTCATGCATACACTTCTGCATGTATGCATTCCATATGTAAGTATTCATACCTATCCCAGAGGCTCTTTGATTCCTGAAACGTGTTCAAATGGAACGCTTGGTAGAAAGCAGTTGAAGGATTCCTGTGAGATCCGAGAATCAAATGGAAATGAGGTTGAGAATGTACAGTAAAATCACTACTTAAAAATTTTTAAAAAGCTGGAAGACTTCAGTTTTTGAATACAGCATAACTGTTTTAATAAAAAAGAAGAAAAAACACATAAACTTGCTTAAAACAACACTCGGAAACTGAAAACTGGACAAAATCCTTCAGCAATGATTCAGGATCATAGTTCTAAACTAAAGGAGTAATACAGAAAAACTAAATACCAAGGAGCATCCAAGTTTGAGTGTGTGTATATATATATAAAAATGTGACTAATTCAGAGCCCAATCAACATTATTCTATATTAGATGCCTAAATAAACATCTATTGAGTTAGCAGCTTAACAAAGCTATTTTCAGGTAGAAAATTTACGTAAAATAAGCTATACCTTCATGTATGTAAAATTTATTCTAAGGCTCTGTTAAAATTGGGAAGGGTTGGATAATGAACAATGATGAGTTCTTTCCCGAGTTGAACTTGACACACTTCCACCTTCAAAATTCATTTATTTTTCTGTGGTTTCACTGGGTTAGGACAAAAAATGGTGCTGCAATTGTTTGGCAGCTTTCTAACTTCTTGCATTAGTACAGTGACTCTTTTAAGGGGTAAAAGCCTACTTACCATAATTACCATTCATTTTTACCATTCCCTAGGGACACATTCCCTAGGGCCATCACCACAGAATCTTAAATGATAGGCTCATCTGGGCAAGTTCCCAGTATGTACAATATACCTCATATCTTAGGAATGGTTTCACAGGAACTAAACTTGACAAAACTGCTTTTTCCCTCTCAGCAAACTTCCATAGTCACCCCCCACACCGACCTACACGTCTGGGAGAAATAAAAACCACATCACACTACTTTTAAAATTCTTAGCCCATGCTGTAGAAGAATAAAAGCAGCAGCTAAGAATATAAGTGCTTATTATATACCAAACACTATTCTAAGCACTTTACATTTGTTAACTGAATTCTGAGAACGACCCTATCCAAGAGGGTAGGTACCATTATTATTCCCATCTCATAGATGAGAAAACTGGGTCAGACAGAGGTAACAATAAAACTATTTCCAAGATCCACTGGAATAGCAATCTAGTAACAATGATCACCAAACAATGCAAATACACAAGAGAATTCCATTTCAAACCTCCAATTAGGATTCATTAAGTTGTATTACATATTGAAGTTTTAAAAATTATTTTTCAGAAGGCATTTTTAAAACGTAACCAGCAGTTACCTCTTGAGTTATCCAAAACTAGATGCCAGAGTATCACCAAAGCAGCTGTTTAATCTGGAGTCTTTAATATGTGTATGTCTTGTTACTTGCCCTACTTCAACTTCTTTCTACTCTTTTTTTTTTTTTTTTTTTTTTTTTTTGAGTCAAGGTTGCACTCTGCCAACCAGGCTGGAGTACAGTGGCATGATCATGGCTCAACAGAGCCTTTACTTCCCTTACTCAGGAGATCTTTCAGTCTCAGCCTCCCAAGTACCTGGGACCACAGGTATGCGCCACCACGCCTACCTAATTTTTTGAATTTTTGTAGAGACAAGGTCTTGCTATGTTGCCCAGGCTGGCCTTTCTTTTCTTTTAACCCTTTCTCTGCTTTTTTCTTAGCTAGGTCTAAGGCAATCAAAGGCACTAATTAGACCTGCTAATAACAAGAAAAGCTTAAGAGGCTTCTAACTACTGTTTATTTAATGCTTATACCCCCTTAGGATATTTTTGTCAGGTAACTTTTTTCACTCTACTTAGAAATCAGTCTGCCAAATCAAATGGAAACCAACTGTGCCAAGTGAAAACTCAATTTGGCTTTCTTTCTTAAACCAGGCCTGCCCAGGACTATATGGGATCTAGTTTGCTATCCTCATCAGGCCTGTTTAGAGAACTCAAATTTAATGAAGTGACGCAAAGAAGATAGCAGTAAATACAAGAAAATACAAAGAGTAAACTTGGAAGTTATTCTGTAAGTCTGGAATTAAAAATTCATTAATGAGTAATCACAATATATTTACAAGGATGACATTCTTTAAAAGAACATTAAACTTTAAATCCTTAGAATTTGGAAATGCAAATATTTAATTTAAGCAAAATTCACATGCCAAATAAGTTGGTTCCAAATAAAATCATATGACTTATGAAATTCCAGCAATTTTACAGCATAATAGTGAAATACTTATTGTAAGTCAAGTGTAAAAGTGAGAAAAGAACATATTTGCAGTTAGTAGTAAATCTTAGAATGTGAAAAGGACCTGAAGTAAGATACTATAAATGGACCTAAAATTTTTAGAACATTTTAGAATTCACTTAAGTTGCAAAAGCTGACAATTAACAATCACTCCTATATATAATGAAAATGAAGAAGCCATTTGGAGTTATACAATCTGTGTACTACAGAAAATTCTAAATAATCTAGATTCTAAGGATAAAAATTTAGACAGCCTTATTATAAGACATGAAATTGCTTGTTTCTAAGATACTTTAACTGTATCTAAACTGAGGGAATTTTAGCAAACAGCAACAATTAGTTCCAAAACATTAATTAATAGGCATAAAATAACGTCTGTGAAACCTACCCGATCAAGGTGGCAGAAAGAAAAAGAGCCATTTGTAAATACTTTGGGCCTTATCATCAGAGATTTCTATTTTGGAAAGGCATAAAATTGAGGAGATTAAGAACCCAAGGAAAACGCTATTAATAGGATCATTTCAAGGTTACTGTCTATGAAACCTGAAAGCATCAAGAGGCAATTGCAATTTAAAATTTTATTACAATGTTGAATTTTATGAGGCTTTGATCACAAATTATCTTCCATCCAAGAACTAAAATTTGAAAACAGTTTTCTACAATTTATCTGACGCTAATGTACTATCATTCTAAATGTACAGTCAATGAAGCAATTCTTAGGAAGACTGACATGTGGTTTATACTGAATTTATTTCAGTCACCTAAATGAAAATGCGGTTTTCCTATTTGTAGACATTTTTCAAAATTAATGGACAAAATATATTCTTTTCTCACTGACTTTATATACTAAATAGTGTCATGTTAATTTCCAAATACATGAAAGTAGTACATCGGAAAGTGACTCAAAGTATGTGACATGTGTATCTGCTTTAGCAAGATACTATCTTTGTAGGGTATCTAAGTGTAACAGGGAGGAAAACCACACATATATCCCATACCACCAAACTAAGCTACAAGCATTGCTGAAGGAAAGCATGAGGTGCATGAGCCCTGAACTCAGTGAACACCTCTTATCTATGCCAAAATGCAACTTCAGAGATCTTTAAATAGAAACCAGGGAAATAGTAAGATCAACAAAGGCCATCTTCAAGATTATTATCTGGGGGATTTTAAATTATTTTTAAAAATATATATATTTTTTAGTTAAGTGTTACAATACAGCACCATCAGTGTCTACAATAGCTTTTCCGTCCTTCCATCTTATTGTCTACCAAGTAATAAACTTCTAACTCTAAGAATATCTAAATGCACTGGCTTTGGGGTTGAAGGTCTGAATATGAGTCTATGCTTTGTCACTTAATTTAATACTCAAATTCTCAGAGATTGTTTCCTTAATCCTAAAAAAGGGGAAAAAAACAGTCTTAGAGGCTGATGAAAAGATCAAATGAGAATACATTATATACACAGGGCCTGACATAAGTGTGCTTTGTGTTTAATATTGGACTACAAATTTCAAATATATGACGCATGAAAATCAAATTTTAGTAGAGTATCTTAATATGTACCAAACGTTTGTCATCATCAAGGTAATACTGAGGCAAACAGAATATTCAGTTAGTTGTACCAAAGTAGTTAGCACGTCACTGGAGGAGGAGTCTGATTTTTCGGACTCAGTGCTCCTTAAGGCATTCCCTAAACACAACCTTATCACAAGATTATTTAAAATACAACAATCTCTAAAAAGGGTACTGAAATGGTTCTAAGATATGTTATTTTAACACTTCCAGAATGATATTTTAACAATAAAAGCTTCTAGAAGCACCTTTAAAAGTAACCATAAGCTTATTAAAAAATCTAAATTTCTTACCCTGATACTTAAGCCCTTCATTCTGGTTCTCGTCAAATTAATATCATTTTTCAGACATGACATATTCTCACCTTTCCATAGCATTATACAAAATGTCTTCTACCTCACTTGGAAAACCATGCCCTTCCCTTATCAATGACATAATCTGAATGACTTTTAATATTCAGTTCAAGAGTTAGCCCTCAGAAGAATGCACAAGTAATAACGGGTTGCTTCTGAGGACTGAAACTAGGTGACTGGAAGACAGGTGGCAGAGAGGCCTTCCATTTATATTATTTTATGTATTTTGAGTTATGAACTATATTAATATATTACCTATGCAGAGAATAATTTTCAAATGGAAGTCAGTCTAACTACTACCGCCCAATACCAAACTGATCTGATGTCCCAAACCGTTCCCATTAGCACCTTATATTACAGCATCAGAGCCACAATATATATCAAAGTATACACGTGATTAACATTTTCATATAGCCTGAGACCTTGAAGGGCAGCAGAGTCTTATTTCTGTATCCCAGTGATCACTACTCAGCACAACGAAAGCTGAATAACTAACACAATGTTGTTTTAAAAGTTTTCTTAAGAATTCAACCTACTTAATGAGTATTTGCAAATCTTATTTATTATCACACAATAACTAGTGGCAGGAAAGGGGTTTGACAAGAGGAAAGTTTAAGTTGGTAGCTCTCTCATGAAACATGTCTAAACGTATGGCCTCATATACACAGGACTGGAAGGTAGCTTAAAATTTGTCCAAGTCTCAAAATCTACTTTTTGCTGTCCTTCTTACATATCATGACTTCTATGGACTAAAATAACATCTCCTTTTCTCTGGCTACATCCATAACATACAATTAAACTTTAAAATTAAAATGGTCAACTCTTGCTATTCTTTATAGCATGTCAAGAGGTGATCTGCAAGA